GACCAAGGCAAAGTGTAGATACATGAAGGGTAAACTTTAAGCAAGCACATTGCACAGTCTTGTCCTAAAGACAAGCAAGAGGTTAATTAGCTTGCCCTCTATAAAAAATTAAATTACAGTGATAATTTTTCATTTTGCACATATAGTTGCTTATGTAAATCAGCATCTGAAATGAAATGTAAAAATAATACGCAAACATGTGCCATTTTTTGTCCTGTGGAACTGCATTTCAGATATGCAATGTAGCACCATCTTTAGAGATGACAGTCTGTTCCCAAATTTCTGTAGACTGCACGCTTACAGGTGTGTCAATATAGTTACGCAATTAAATTTCCCCGGAACAGAGTATGTTTGAAGGGAAATGTGCATGTACAAGCAGTGAGCAGAGATCAGCCACTAATTAATCCCCCTGGTTGTTCTGCAAGACCTGGTGGGATTGACATTCAGAATGTTTCCCAACCTACCTATGGATCTCCACAAAGCTGCCTAAGACAGTACAAGCAACAACCTTTGACCTTTCCACTACAGTGCATCCTCTCAGTCAGCTGGTATCAGCAAAACCCACAATTTACACACATACTTGACCACTTGTCTGCTCCCAGATTTGTTTAATATTCAAATTCTTAAATTCCATGTCAAATAATACTGTAATAATTATACCTGTATTAACCTGATCCATTACTATCAATGAACTCCATTTTTAAATGAATGCTTTTTACACAGGATTTGTCTTTTTAATGAAAGAGGCAAAAGAAAGGGGGGGAAATGCTCACAGGTTGTGGGGAAACAAGAGAAATCTAATCTTTTTTCTCTTTTTGCTTTTCTGCCAAAATAATTCACTATTAAATTGATCTTTAGAATATACAATAGGTTTAATAGCTGTAATCTTTCATGTAACAGTTCCTTTCACTAGTACTTAACAGCAGTCAAGCTGAGAGCCTTAGCACAGACGCTGCACCCTCGTTTTCTGAAAAGCAGCTCTGCATAGCTGACTTCAGGAAGAAATAAAGAAACACTAAAGAGAGACCTGGCAAGCTCTTGCAGAACTGAAAGGGGAAAGGCATTTCCATTTGTTACGGTCGCCCCTTGAGCTCTAAAGCCTGCAGGTCATGCTTCTTTGAAAATAAATCCCACTGTCAGCAGTAGAACTTGCTCACAAATAAAAATGGTCAGGATCAGAGGGTAAAGGTGTGCTAACCTATGCAATGTTTATCCAGCTTGGTAGCAAGAGAGAAACTGGGCCAGGTAACCCAACAGAGGGCAACATTAGCATTTCCCCCCTCAGAAACTGGATAGGGTCTGTCTAATCAGGAATGAAAGAGTTTATTTATCATCTACTGCACTACACACACCCTTACACCCTTAAATCAATATAGTAATATGTTTAATTTATCAGAAACTTCCCTTTACTCTAAAGCAAGGAAGCAAAGCAAAGTCTCTTCCTACTTCCTCCTTATTCTAAGTTTTCTTTCCAGAGAGATCCCTGGATACCGTTTCAAATAAGAATTTTATGAAGGAGATATTCACATTTAATTGAACCTCACTTAACTGCTTAAAACTTTAAAAAGAAGCTCTCAGCAAGAGCTCCAGGGAAAACTGGATTTTAATGAGGTGGAATTCCAGACTAAGGAGGATAAACAAAGATTCTTTGATTTTCCAAATCTTTTCTAATAGGATTTCTCTTTTAATTCCTTCTGTATGTTCTTATTTATAAAAATTGGGGATTACATAACTGACAAACAATGCAGCATGAATATCTTTAATGGCAAGGCTATATCCCGGGCTGATGACTTATATTTCACAGACTGTCATTCTTCTGGAAGTGTTTGAGTTTGTGCCCTTGGCAAGGTCTTTTCTAATTTGCCCATTGCTGGTAATGAGTTTTCACAGACTCAGCTGTAAAGGATTTTTGCCTTCCTTTTTTTTAATGCAAGAGATTAAAATGCATGACCTCAAACGGTGCTTCCCCATCTGGTTTTCTTCCAAAAAGTGGCTGAATTCAATTGGCTCTGTCATTAGGAACACAATACTAGTCTTTCTTGGGCTTCTGAACAAATATAGTTATGTTCCTGGGAAAATATGGAGAGAAAGAGCTAAGATCAGTCAAATACTGTGAATAGAATAAAGGACTTAGATCCTCAGGAAATGCTCTTCATTTCCTTCAAAAGATTACTTGCCATTTAAATAGCAAGAGAGTCTCAAGGAATTTTAACCAATGCATCAAGACAGGAAATCTGATCAAAGACACAGCACAGGTTCCTGGTTAATAATGCTACCATATGCCCAAGTAAACCCAAGTATAATTCTCATAGGAATGTAGTGACTGTCATATTGGATCAGATTTGTGTCCATCTATCCCAGTATCTTATGTCCAAAAGGAGCCAAAGCTAGAAGCTGCGAGTCTAAGTTTGTAAGAATATTATAGTAAACAGCTTTGAGTTCAGTTAATGAGTCCCACACCGATCACTGAAGGTAGCTCGTTACACTGCCCATCACACAACACATGGGCATGGCTTCTTTTGGGTTTTGCCATTGTTTTTGAAAGAGACATTTTCTGTGCAAATTCACACATACTGGCATTCCTATGGCACCATCCATTCAGTCATGACAATCACTGAGATGTGATTTTAATCCACAGGTAGCTTTGTGATGCTGTACTGCCAGAAACGTTTTCATGCATTGGGAAATGAGATAAAAAGGCAGCATCACCACTTGCCCCTGGCTCCAGAGGCCCACTGGCGCACCCCTCAGTGTTTTCCCTCTAAGACTGCAGTCCTCACCTCTGGAGCCAGCGCACTGCAGGGACCCCGGACTGGTGGTGGTACCCTTCCCCAAGTCCCCCCAAGTGGAAAGGAGCTCCACCAGGCACCACTCAGTTCTGCTCCTCATTAGCCCACTTCAGATTCTTCTGTCCAAAGTTTTTATTCTAGCAGACACCTGTCCTGCTGGATTAATGCATTTGGAGGTGGATCCCTTGTTTGGAGGCAGCTTTTGACTGCTGTACCTATCTGGAGGGGAGGGATAATCCATTTTATTGTTTGGTTATGTAGCTAATGTTTGAAGTAATTTTCAAATTAAAAATTTCAAATTAAAATTCAATTTATAAGCTACTGAGCATTTCTTCTGCAAAGTGGAAAGGAGGAGCATAACATATTCTACAAATAAACACACACTGATGTAATCCTGTCCTACTGGTGGTGAGGACATGATAGAAAGCTAGTTCCCCTTCATCCCTCATGACAGACTGAATGAATTGTGGGGTTGATTTATGTGGAGAATGTTAGATGAAGCCTCTTGCAACATTGCACCTCCTTTTCCCAGGATGTCTTACCACACCTCCAGTTTAGCACTAAATCATTGAAGAAGCAGTGCAGAAAGCTCTCATCTATGTCAACACTGAGAATTTGTCATCTGGGGGAAAACTGCCAAACCTTTTCTGAACGTTGTTGTTGCCATTTGTGAAACACCGACGGTTTCAAGGAATTACAGCTTCCTGGGGCATACTGTGGGTCTGCTGTTCTCACAAGAGCGGCAAGTCTTGGCTTGTCACCTCCAGCTCTTGCTATTCTCATTTTCTCATTACCTCCACATGCAGTGGCAAAAGCTGCACTAGGCAGAATGAGAAAATGCTAACCTTGTTTTTTATAATGTCACACATGCTGTCTTGCTTTCTAAACAGCCAGAAAACCATCAGTATTGCTTTAAACCAAAGCCACATCGTTACAAACACATATATTCATAAAATACCTGAAACACCATCTCACTCAGGGTGAGAAACCTGTGGCCTGTCAGATGTTGTTGGCCTACAACTTCCATCGTTCCTTAACTTTGGCCATGCTAGCTGGGGCTGATAGGAGTTGGGGAACCTCAGGAGGGCCACAGGATTCCCCACCCCTGATCTGGTCCAAACTCCTGCTAATTCTGTAAATCTAGTGCTACAATATTCCTGATAGCAGGTCATCTGGCTTCTGCTTAAAAATATTTAATGAAGGGGAGCCTACCACCTCTGATGCTGCTTTCTACAAATAGCCAAAGCTCTCTGGCCAGTTTACAACAACAGTTACTGGGTTCAGGCAACACAGCACTGTACACTCAAAGTGGATTATAGGTTGCGTGTGGGGTGCTGTTGGATGTGGCACCTTGCTGGAATGTGGATTATTGTGCCATTTGAACCCTGCTTCATTAATAAGCCATTGCTTGTTAGCCTCAAACAACCCATGAAGAGAACCCTTGTTTTGTTGGTAGGTTGTAAAAAATAGGTTGCACAACTGATAACCCACTTTTCAACAACAACCTATGGTTCAAAGACAACCCAACCCATATGGTCTGAAACCAGACTATCTATTCCACTGTCAAACAAACTGTACTATCAGGAAGTCGTTCTTAATGTTTAGTTCACCTTACCTTGCAGCAAAGTTAGGCCACCTCCAAACAGTTATTGTATCCCCTGTCCTACATGTCCCTTTTCTTTGATTTACTAATCAATTCACAATTCAAAGGTATGTCCATTTATATACAACCTACATATAAATGGATAGGGCTATTCAGTGATGAGTTGTTGTTCACTCACTGTTCACAACAGGCCTCACTGTTGTTACCCTCAAAAAAGATCAAGACAGAGGTATAACCCAAGGATAAGTGTGGGAAAGGGAGTACACAGCTTTCAGAAAATGAAATGAATTAAATCAAGCTTAAAACACTCATTCTTAAAATAATACATAAAATAGAATTTGCACTTATTTTGCCAGTTCCTTTACGCATATTTATTTAATGCCAAAAAGCAGGTTTGGGCATTCTTAGTTCATTGATAGATAAGGAACTTTCTTAAGGAGGCTTTCTATTATTACTAACTAAAGGATACTTTCCTTTTGTCTCTGTGTCTTTTCTTTAACCTACAGTAAAGAGGGAGGGAGGGAGGAAATCTTTCATTTCATTGAAGCAAATTGCTGGGGAAAATAAAAAGTGGCCACCCTATCTGTTAAAAATCTGTTTGCTCTTACCCAAGACATAAATCTCATTGTTGACTACAGCTGTGCTGAAGCGGTATTTCGAGTACTTCATCGGTGTGCACTCTGTCCATTTGTCTTGGCCTGGGTCATACTGCAACATTCTGTTGCTTAATCGATCAGGCTCATCGTCAGGAAGATCCATCTGTATGAAATATGACAGCCATATAATAATACAACATTTGGAGCCCTCTGCACACGCCTGCATGCTATTAATCATGGAAGACAGCTGAGCAGATAAATAACATAAACACATCAATTATAGCTGTGAAGTGATTCATACTCACTAGGATTTAACAGCATCCATGACTTGTGGTTGGGAAATACATTGTGGAAGGCACATGAATAACAGCACATTTATATTCTGTAGCAAGGAAGCTGAGATTTGGCTAATAACAAACCATCAATGAACTCAGCTCTGACAGAACATAGCTCTTTTTACAAGGCTGCTTTGAAGTCTCCAGAAGAAAGCAGAAACCTCTTTATTTTCCCCCAGAGATGGAATTTTGATTTAGGTTGTTATTCAGATAACCCTAAGTTTCCATAAGAACTTTGAAAATTTGTATCAGGTCCTTTAGGGGGAGACATTTATGAATGATACAATGCCAACATAATCATTTGTGAATGATATAAACAAAAACATTGTTCAGTTTGCATGCATTTTAACAGTATTTTTCTCCTGTTTTTCATTTCCCCCCTCCCTTGCTTTCTGTCACACACACACTCAGTCATTTGTTCAATTCATTTAAATAGGCCTTCTAAGTAGGAATAATTCCTTATATCTCCAAGTAGAACTAATATCGGATATATAACACTTGTTTACTTTTTATTATCTGACTGAAATTTTAAGAAATGCTTAAATCCTACAATCTGCTGCTGCTACTCAACTGGCCAAAGTTTTTAAGTGGCTACTAAAATTCAATCTTATATAAATGTAAGATTCAGAGTTGCATTTTTATGTAGGATATTCTATTGCATGAGAATTAAGTGCCTTTGAAACGCCTTGGAAGCATACAAAATGTTTTGCTCTTTGTATGTATAAAAAGCAATACTCATTATATAATCTAAGCTCTAAGGGATGCTAGGTTGAATATGCAAACACATGTCCAGTAGGAAGGCTCACCCTTCCTACTCACCAGAGGTGATATGACTGAGATGCTGAAATGTTCAGAACAGGTATCTGAATTTGGTTCCTTTCCTGTTTCCTCTCTGTTCCCTTTTCCTTTACATTCCATCCTTTGCACTGAAAGTCTGATGTCTGGGGCTGGCTTGTTTCTAATTTGTGTACAGTGCTAAGTAAAATTCAGGCACTTTATAAGTGATAAATAATACCATAAAAAGTTTAACCATTGCTGTGGTATGACAGATATAACAGCATGCCCATGACGTCCACAACTATTTGTAATGACAACTAGCTATTAAAAGAAACTATTAAAGCTATTAAACATGTAGACATTAAATGAATCCCAAAACATATGTCGTCTGAGCACAGCTTTAAAACAAATAATACTGGCAGGGACTTTTTCTATGCTTTGCCGTACTTTCTCTGTGTGTTCCATTTCCAATCCTACATGTCAAAATCTTCCATGAGAAACAAACTACAAACACTACATCAAAGTTTAGCTGAACTAACAAATAGATCAACAATTCTTTGCCATGATACAAAAGTTTCTAATTGCCTTCAGCTGCATGCAAGATTGGCCTTGAGAAGACTTCACACCAGCCTTCTCCAGTTTGATGCCCTCCAGTTATTTTGAACTTCAAGTACCATCAGTCCCAGCCAACCTGGCAAATGCTCAGAAATGCTGGGAGCTGCAAATCACCTGAGGATACTGTTCAGCAAGGATGCCCCACACTCATGCATATTAACTTGAGAACAGGCCTGCTAGATCAAAGAATGATCTGTCCAGTCCAGCCTCCTATTTCCTACAGTGCTCAGTGTGATGTTTCCGAAAACCTCAGAGAGGTACCAGACAGACCTGTTCCTTCCAGCCACAACACACCTTTCACCCTTCTCTGTCTTGCTTCCATGTTGATTGCCAGGGCCCAAGAGACCTGCAGCAAGGTGCCCAGGCCCGTTCTGCCTGAAGCAGGAGTGGGCAGCTCGATGCCAGATGCTTTGGCTAAATCTCCTATCATCCTTCACCATTGGTGCTCCTGGGTAGGGCTGATGGATGTTGCAGGTAGCAACATCTGGAGGGACACAAATTGCCCAGGCTTTCTCTAAGGTACTTCAAGGTGGTTCAAGGTACTTCAAGGTAGCTAAGACAGATAACACAGTGCTCTACAATCTAACAGCTGTTTTTGTGACTCCTGGGCATGGACAATATCCTATAATTTTCTAGACAGACCACCCACAGCCGCTGGATTAACTGTTCCTTGTTTGTCAAGGAGAATGTTTGTCAGGAAGTTGGACAAAATTGTCCCACTGCAGCTGTGTGTATAATGATTCGTTAGCTAAATTAAACATAATTTTGTGATGTTTGAAATTTGCTTTATCGCTTTTACTGTTCTTTACTGTTCTGGTTGGCACATCTGCAATGTGATCCTGCCAATGTCTGCGCAGAGGTGAACCCCGAGCTAAGCTCTGGGTAGGTATATATGAGACTGCAGCTCACGACTCTGCAGGTATCCAGGCCATATTCTTTGTGGATAGAATGAATTTCATCTTCTGCTTTAGTTTTGTCCTCATGCATAAATTGGGATTTATGCAACAATAAAGCAACACGCTCTCCTTTTTGCAAAACACATTTCTGCCTTTTGGAATTTCACTTTTGTATTGTGAATGGTTGAGGTGGAAGCATTGCAATGAATCATAGCAGAACAACCTATTCCAGCTTGCAATCCTATGCATACTTATCAGGCAAGTTTCCCTCAAGGGTAAGTAGCAGAGTTTCCTGCTGATCTTCCCAATGTAGGATAAAAGAGCAGACACAGCTCAAGACATCTTTATGTCTGAGGTAGAAAACACATACCAAGCCCACCGCCAGTTTCTGTGGGGAAACTACACAATGCCGTCACTCAACCGCAGTTAACCTGCACTTTTTCTGCAGTGCTTCCATACTTTGTCAGACTTTTGTGCTATGCTGCCTTTTCTTTTTTTCAAGGCAGACTTTTATGTGGGCACTCATGTATCAGGCGGCTGAACATATCACAATTCAACATACATTCAATGCACCCATCCTGTTACATTTTATTGTTTTACTTAGTACTAATGCACTATTTTGGTAATAATACTTATTTTTAAAATGGTATGTGGAGGGGGACACCCCCTTTTTGGCCAACATAATTTACCACATTGCCAAAATGGCAGCAAAGTTTTGTTTATTTCAGCTTTATCTTGTTAATAATGCTTATTTCTCTTAAGTAGTATTTTGATATTTTAAACAAACATATCTGGAAATGCATTTCAGCATTACAATCCATTCTGAAAAATACATGGGATGATAAAATGGCAACCACCACTTTATCGGGATTAGTTCTGAGCTTCAAAAAAACCACTCAGGTGAATTTATTTATTTATTTATTTATTTATTTATTTATTAAAACATTTTATGCCGCCCCATTCGCCGAAGCCTCGGGGCGGCTTACAACAATAGAATTGAACATTCCTTTCCATACCCACAGCAGCCACACCATGACTACTGGTATGGGTGGCACATAGTGGGAAAGGTAGCACAAACAGAAAAAAGGTACAATACTTAGAACAGAAGATGAATTAATGGTAGCTCTAAAACCCACCCAGTGAGAAGGAGCAAAGTAACTGATAATTGCTGTCCTTATAATAAGTCTTCAAGACAAGACACTTTACTTTGTCTTCTGGTAAGATTGTTCCAAGTATCGAACAGCTAACACAGAAAGCTACCATCTGGACTTGAACTTGGCACAAAGCCCCCAAAGAAATTGGCACTGAAGAGATAAAGCAACTTTCCATCCAAAAGAACTGAATAAAGATATTAACCTTTCCAGAACACATGCAGTGTTTTGTTTGGCATAAAGGCCAAGAGAGTGAGTTAGGCTGGGCCAGCTCAAGACATTTTGCTGCCTGAAGTCAAGGACATGGGGTCCTCCTCCCAGACATTGACAAGACTCTTGCTTCCACACAAGGAATGAGATAGCATCCTATACTACACCTGACACAGTGGGCTAGTTTACGGTGCAAGGGCAGGTTGCGTGGCACACACAGTGCTTTCCTCCACCAGAGGGGAAGAGCCAGAGAGCTCATAAAGAATAGCTGGGTGACTGTTCCCTACAAGTATCTGCTACCTGAGGCAGCTGTTTTGCTCTGGATAATGGCAGGGCCCACCCTGGAACTGGGAGGTCCACAGTTCCCCTCTCATGTTGTCCATGAACCTGTGCTTCTGGGGCCATAGGCAAGCTACCTTTTTCAGTCTTGGCAAGGAAGACTGGCAGTCTCAAATTGGAAAGTTTTAAGAATCACAACAGTTCATATGAAATTCTTGGAATTCTTGAAATGAGAAATGTAAATGCCAACAATGATGATGTATACAAATGTGTATATAGACATCTAGTGGGGGTGAAGGACATGGAGATCTTCTGGCATGTTGACACATCTAAGGATATCTTTGGATGGGGGAAGTTTGCTTTTCATTATTGCTTTATGATAGGACTGAGTATGACTATGCAAACATCGCATCCAAGAGAAGTCTTTTTAATTCCAGCAAGAAACAGCTGCCAGATTATTTAGCATTTTTACCAACTATAGCCATTTTTCTACAGCAAAGTATGCTCCTCTTATACTGGATGAATGGATGCGGAACTAATTTTGTCTGAGTGGTGGATGTTTATTGCTGTTATTTTGCTTTGAATATATACTGATTCCGAAGGCCTTTGGGCACATGCATTAACACACACAGAGAGAGATTAAGTCAATTAAAAAGTGCTAAGATACAAAAGGTTAAAGGTTCAAAAAGTGACCAGCTTTACAAGGGAAAGTCCCAAGTTTACTCCCTGCTGGCATCTTCAGGTAGAAGGATGTGAATGACTTCCTCTGCCTGAGTCTTGGAAAGCCACTGCCAGCCAGAACAGGGAAGGAGGGCTCAAATGGAATGGACCGAGAAACTGATCTGGCATAAGCAGCTCCTATGTTCCTAAGCATTAAAACTATGCAATGACAGAAATAAGACAAGAGAAAAAAGCTTTTGTGCCATTGCCTCAAAATTAGCAAATCTACTAGAGAAGGGGTGCAAAATGTCAAGCCTGAGGGCCAAATCTGCTCCTCTTGGGGTCTCTGTCCAGCCCTTTGAGAGTCTCCAGAGGACATTTCCTCTCTTCTCTGATCACCAACTGGTTGGTGGTGTCCTGTCCTTTGTGCAGTTTTCTCTGATTCTAAAAGGCTGAGATAAAGCTTGAAGCTCAATTAGCGGCAATAGACACATTGTGTTGCAAAACGCTTGCATTTTGGGATCTTGTTCTTTTTGCCTTTGGCCCCTTGCTAGCCACTGCAATGTGGCCCCAAGAACTTTTCAGAAAGAGAATGTGGCCCTTGGCTAAGAAAAGGTTCAACACCCCTGCGCTTAGTGATTTCTCTGAATGGCAAATGATTTGCCTTGTGCCCTAAATGTGCAGTTCTACATAATATGCACAGACAATATAGCTGGAGCGCAGTGTATCGAATGCTTAGCACGGCTCCTCACCTGTGGTGTCCAGCCTCCCATTGCAAACAGCCTGTTTTTCACTTGCACAACAGCATGGCAGGCTAACGGGACCGGGAGAGGAGCCACGGTTCTCCAGTTATCTTGCTCCATGGAATATCTTTCCACAATGTTTGTGATGTGGTACTGGTTTTTCAGTTTCATTTGGCCTCCTATGATGTACAGGTCGTTGTGGATGGTGCCTAAAGCATAGAGCTCGCGAAACTGGGCACTACACAGACTTTGCCAAAACCGATTGCCCTGGCAGTTGTACCTGCAAGAAAGCCTAACATTAGAATTGCCACACTCAGAGGAATTGACATGCATTCATACCTAGTCCCTCTCCTCACACTGCATTTCCCTCAGTACATAAGAAGAGCCCTGTTGGATCAAAACAGGGTCCATCCAGTCCAGCACCCTGTTTTCTACCAACTGGTGTACCTAAGCAAGGTCAAAATGGCTCAAAGGGGAGTTTCATTTTCAAGAATTTGTACAGATTCTCAGACTTTTGCTTTGAAATGGTTGCATCATATTTGGGGACTCAATAACTAAAGTATGTGTGCTGCACTTCCTAAGAAAATGAGACATAAATAGGAAACAGGATAGGAAGTTAATAACATTCCCATTTTAAAGAGTTTTAAAAGGTAACTGTGGACTTAGAATATATGAAAAGCCCTGCTGGATCAAACCAAGGGCCTGTCAAGTTCTGCAATCTGTTCCCACGATGGCCAACTAGATGCCTATGGGAAACTTGCACACAGGACATAATGCAATAGCACCTTCCTGCTCATGGGCCAAAGCAACTTACTTCTAACTACCTTACCCTCTCATTGTGTTTACCAGAGTTAAATTAAAGTGATAAAGTGCATAATTATGTTTCCTCATAGTTCCATAGACCTTAACCAGCACTATCTTATTTCTGGCATATCCCTTCAGAGATAAACAAGAACATTTCAAGGTGGAACAGAGGTGGGCAGAAAATAAACTTCCTGACTATTGGCCTTTCTGTCAAGGACTTCTCTCCAAACAATCTACCTTCTGTCCACCTACCTTGAGGAGCAGCTAAAGATATACCCATCATTAGATTTGTGTAGCAATCCATACAAAGAGGTATTTTCTGTCAGAAAAAAAAATGCTTCTCTCTATTCCAGCCTTCTCCAGCTTGATACCCTCTAGAGTTTTGGACTTCAGACACAGACAGTGTTTAGGCGTGCTGGGAGTTGTACTTTAAAAATATCTGGAGTGCACAGGTTGAGGAAGACCGTGATTGAAGCAAAAACCAAGCAACCAGTGTGTGCCCATATGCTTACAGACTAAACCTAAAAAGGATTATTTTAAAGGAATCCCTCTTGCTTCCAATGGGATTCACACCCAGACTTAGTTTCTCTGAAGGGTGAATAAAAACAGTGTGAGGGGTCTTCTGTAGCAGCAGCAGTACTAGTGAGCAAGCAGGATGCAAGCCTGGTTGTGCCTGAACAAGGATGGAACATTTGCCGAGGGGAAAACTAGTAGCCTCTGGAATTATATGTGGCACATAGAGGGCACTATAGGCCTATCCACTGCATTGTCAATGAACAGGGTAGTGAATAAAGATTTTGTCCACAACCTGCAAAAACTTCACTTTCTAATTTGTATGCATATTGTGTATGTGGCACTAAATATGCTGCAGAATCCAAGGAGATCTGTACAAAAGACATCTGAGTCTACTTAAAGCCTTGTGGCTCGGTAGCAAGCTGCATGCTTCCCTCCCTCCCTCCCTCCATTTATTTATTTATTTATTTGAGAGCCACCCACTAGCATCACACTCTCTGGGTGGCCAATTTTTTTTAAGACTCTACTAAAGCATAAATCCTACAAAACAAATACAAAAAGAGCTGAAATGTTATGTTTCATGATAACATAATGAATAATAGGCCTTGGTGAGATTTTGCTGTTAACTTCTTACATGTGGCCATTGTATAAAGTGGAATAATAGATGGCTAACATAATTCATTAATTCATTTATGTTTATCTGCTTTTTAACAAGTGTTATGAGATGCAGAAGATATTTTGGAGCCCCACCTTCAAGGTCCTGCAACCTTGGAGCTGGGACTCCGGCGATGGAGCTCCTGCCTGCTCATTGGGGAAAACCAGCTGGCTGCCTCTCCAAGGATACAACTGAGCCTTGGAGTGAACAGAAAGGGCCATGTAAGGGACAGGAAGAGCAGGATGCTGGGGCCATCCCTGTTCACTGACTCTGATCAGTGCCCCCACCGCCTTCCCTCCCTACCCCCACAGTTAAATCTAGACCGCCAAAAATGGCCATGTAGAGCAAATACATGGGATGAGCCGCAGTGACGCAGATTGCCAAACAGACCTTGCTCTTTCATAGGATTCAAAAAGCCTCTAAGTCCACAGGCTTATGGGCATTTGCCTTGGAAGGGACTGATTATGCCCTAAGCAACTGCTGCTAGTAACTAAGCCTCAGGAGAGGCATTTCAAACTTTTAGAATGGAGAAAAGCTGCAGTAAGTAGCTAGGAAACCACCAAAGCTGCTGGTTGGTGGAAAGGGGTGGGCCATCTTGGGGTGATGGATTTGTCAGAGGAAGAGTTTTGGACCTCCCAGCATTAAATAACTATAGGGAAATAGTCCATATATACATAAGTACAATATAATTACATACTGCAGTGCAAAGTATTACAGGGGCTGTTGTTGCATTTAATTTCTTAATGCTAGAGAGGATACAAACCTATAAATTTCAATATTCCTGGTCTTTTCCCTGGACATTTTGGCAGCACTTGCCTCTCCCGCCACAATGATATCGTTGTTCTCATTAACAACACCGGTGCATACACATCCAAGGCCCTCTCCATATTTTGGAGAGGAAATGAAGTAAATCTTCTGTGTTGCAGGAGCATAGCAGAAGCTGGCATCAGCGTAGTTACCATGCCTTGATCTGATGCCCTGGGAGTTATTGCCAATACAAAGCAGAAGGGTAGTGGTCTCCATACCATAGCGGAGGCCAAGAGAAGGTTGGTTGGATTTCTTGATGGTTTCCAGTGCTCCCTCAATCATGTCGCTACACTGTGAATTACTGAGCAGCACCGTGTTCCTTTTCCGAGCCTCTACAAGAAAGGATGGGCTTACAAGTACTAGCCTTACTTGCTTCAGGAGCTCAGTGAGGTGATCTGCACGTTGTTTCCTGCTGTGATTAACCCATCTGAGGACCAAGTCCAAAATGCTCTCTTCTCTGGATACATTCAGATCATCTGACCTAATAAGACTGAGTAATTGCTGCACTTCAATCTCTAATATCTCTTCATGCAAGCTCGCTTCTGCAAAGTGCTGATATAAATACTTCCTGGCTTGATCAGACAGCTCTTCAGCCCCAATGTGCTTTGCGAAGTAATAAATCCCCACACAGTTGGAAGCGTCCATGTGGTCCATCATGTATGACTGACAGATATGAAACACATCTTCCATCTGCATGAAAAATGCTGCAATGGCCACACTCTGTACGTTGCAATTTGTGAGGCGCAACTCTGCTGTGTACATGTAGTGCAGAAGTACGGACACACTTTCTGCTGACATGTCATGGAGCACCACTTCGTTCTGTGTGCATTCCATCAAGCCGCAGGTAAACATTGCTTTGAAATAGGGGCTGAAAGCAGCCAGCATCAGTTTGTGACAAGGGAACTTTTCACCTTCAGCTACTAAAACCACATCAATCATTTCTGTTAAATTTTTCATACTTTTTATTTGATCCAGCAGATTCAAGCTATGCTGCTGCTTCCTTTTGCCTTCAGCTTTGTAATCCATGGTAAAACCTTTGTGCCGCTTTTAAAGATTTTCTCCTGTTGAGTTTTGAAATAGCTATGCGTATATCCAAGGACTGTCAGGGTGGATTTGCTTCATCATGACATCACATCACTAGAGGAAAAGGAGATACATAATTAGTGTATAATTAGTTTTTACATTCAGTCTATTTTTCTATTTTCATTCATTTCTGTTCACCTTTTAATTCATTTCTGCCATTAATGTTCTGCTAAGGTTTCTATTTCAATAGCTAATCTCAAACAGTCCCATGTTTCAATAAAAGTGAACAATATTGATACTATGGGGAATGCTAAGAATTCAGGGAATGTTGAATGAAACTCAGAAGACAAACCCTGCAGTCTTCATCCATCAAAATGTCGATGTGCTTTTGTAATGCATTTGCTCATCTATATATTCACCTCTGCTTTAAAGTAAACTCTTTTTCTACTTAGCTTTCAAATCTGTTGCAGGTTTTGACAAAAGCACAACTAGCACAATCACTCTGACTGGGCTGTAACTCATGGGGCCACTTTATTCAGACACCCTGTCATGCATAGATTGGCCTGGGTGAAAACTCTGGGTGAACTGAGTGAGGTTCACTGTACCCTGAGGGAATCAACCCACATGTTCTACACGGAAGGCTGAGTGGTTACTGGTGGAGCCCTGGAGGCAAACCCCTTGCATTTAGGTCTTTCCACAGCAAGTGCTTTTCCCTACTTTTGCTGTCTTTTCAGCAATGAAAGAGGAATGTTGCTAGATCCCCCACCCATCCAAAAAGTGCAGGTCCTGGATACAAACTGCAGTACTGGTGTTAATACATGAAAATGAGGCTCCCACTGTGAGAACATTTTGATAATATTTTACATTAGGCATCCTCATTTGAAGGGGCTTCCTAGGTAGAACCGAGAATTGAACAGTGCATGGGCAAAACTGAAGAGAGGGGAAGGCAGGAAAGAACCAATTTTCTTTCATCATCTCATTGTTATAGTCTAATAACAGCACAGCTAGTAAGGAAAGAGAACTGAATGACTAGATTGGGGATACATAAGCCATATTATTTTATTCCTGGACATGAAGGTTGCCATGGGAGACAAAGCACTAGCAAAGATATGAAAGCAAGCTTCTGAGTCAAACTTGATTTGTACATTATGAGAACAATGTGATTGTGTCGCTTCATGGTTCCATCCCATAATGCTTCTGATAAAGTACAGCCTACTTCTATGCATGCTTATTTACAAAGGGGAATTGTCCCACTGAGTTTAATGGAGCTGATTCCCAGGCAGGTGTGCAAAGGAATCAGGCTGCAGTCACAAGAGGCTAGCTGGTTACACATGATCCAATCCCTCCTATACAATTTCTGTATCCGTACAAACCACAAGCAGAAAAGAAGAGAGATTTCAGTGGGAACTTTCAGTCTTTTTCAATTGGAAAAGCATGCTGAGAGATAAGGCGTTTTACAGTTTAGAATGGGGAGAGAAAGCTAGAACGAGCCTTGAAGGAAATAGTTTACCCTTTTGCCACACCATTAGCTCTAGCAACAAAAGACATGGAAGGCTTACAAAACCTTATCATAGCATAGAAACCGGAAAGCAGGTGATAGAGATTACATGGTTGTAGCTGACAGCAAAACTTAAGAGGCACTGTTACAAAATCAGCTCCTTCAAGCATCTGTTGAAGATCACCAAATAAATTATGAACTTTTCCAAACAATTTCTATGGACATTTTCCTAAACATAGGGTTTATTCAACAGCACCATCATTGTGGTTGTTGTTGCTACATTGCATTTATATCCCACCTTTTTGCCTTTTGAGGAACCCAAGGCAGCTTACACTGCTCCTTTTAGTAATTTTATTTTCAATCAGATTTTGCCACCCCATGACCATGTCTAAAGCCACTCCTCTACCATCCTTCCTCCATGGTGTTCCCTGACCTGAACCATGTTGCTTCTCTCTGCTGCTTAGCAAGGTCAGCTCTGAGTTAGTCCTCACTCTTGAAGAAGCAGATTACTTCTCAAAGCTGAATTCAGAGCAAGTTAAGCACACTATTTACGAATCACACATCGGGAGACTGACCACCAGAGCAACCAACTGCAAGGGCAACTCAAGTGCAGTTCTTGAAGAAAAAATGGCCTGCATTTCTGTCCTCCTGCCAGCAGGGCACTTGCCCGGCTGCGATACTCAAGGCACAGTCGGGCGGGTTTGGGGCTTTCCCATTTCTGGAGGCCTGTCCTCTGAGATTAAGCGGAGACTAGAAGACGCCAAAGGGATGGCCACCAAGAGAGGAGCCCAAAGTGGAGCCAGCACAAGTAAGCTACAAAGCTTTGATAGAGTCTCATGACATGTACAAGGAAAATGATAATTAGATTTAAAAAAATAAGCAACCCTGCCTTGTACCGCTACTGAAAGGTTTCATACTGTCTGCTATTTGCATGATAAATCAAGTTACGCTACATAAAATACAGGGGAGAAATCATTCTAGTGGAAAAAATACTATAATATAAAAGTACAGTACTGGCTTTCTATGTTTTAGTAAAACAGGATAAGAGTAAGTCAGTGAGATGAAAAGACTTGGGTCATCTTTAATCGTAATATAATTTAATTGAATCTAATCTAACCAATGTGAACCTTTTTCCTGTCATACATCCTTACTTTTTCTGGATCACCAAATGTTTTAAAATTATTGATGTGCCCATATCTCTGGAATTACCTCATGGGATTTTTTTTAAACCTGCTCATTTTATAAATGATTTATTTTTCTGTGGCAAATATGGTGACTACTGCATGAGATCCAAACAGGACAAAGGTTCTGTGGTTCTAGGGGTACCCCAGAAATGGTTACAGCTGGTTTGCCCAGAAAGAGGGGATTTCAGACAACCCCATTCCAATAGAGGCGAACAAGTGAGGTGGTGTCCTGGTTTACACAACTTGATATCACTTGTTGAGTGTCCCAGACTCTTGCAGGCACCACTTTATATCTGCAACGCTGACTAGGTTGTTGTGTTGTGGTTGCTTGCACACAACACACACTGGGTTTGCATGACATGGCAAGCCTCAAGCAGAGGCTGGATGTCCAAAATGGTGGTCTGTGGAAGCCACACACCCACAAACCTTGCTTGCACTCCACAGCCTTGGTATCATGCTTCTAGTTCTATAATTATTTATTAAAATATTGATTTTACTACTTGTCTCAAAAATAGACTTCTTATGTGGTAACTTTGCAGTGCTTGCAATAATAATGCAGCAGGTTGCAATTAAAGAGGAAAAAGCAAAGTGGCTGTGTGGACATAGAAACATAGCAACATAAAGTGAGTCAGAAGGGGTCTCCTGGGCCATCTAGTCTGACCTCCAGCTCCAACCGGCTCTGCTCATGAAATACCTACCATGTGCATGTCCAAAATATTTTTTTTCCTCCTTTGCTCCCCTTCCCCTCTGTTCTTCACACCCACTGAGCGTCTCCCACTCCCTCTCCTCCTCCTCCAGCCACCAGCTGCTCCGACTGCACTCTGCTTTATGGCTTGCCCCTGCCACATGCTACACATTCACCCTGGATTTTTTCGCCATCAATGCATAGAGAATCTCTTGATGTATGAATAGACTTCAGTATCTGAACATGCTATAGAAATCCTTCTGTAAATCTTGGGCACAATATCACACTATAATGCTGTATCGGTTTCACTTTAGCGCTCTGCTCAGTTGCAACGTCATCATTTCCCTAATATGGTAATTGCTAAGTCTTGAAGGGCTTACAAAACCCGAAGCTGCTGGGTATAAATACAATACAAATAGCACAGTTAACATCTTAATACACAGGAAAGGGAAAAAGCTGCAAGCTCCCTCTTTATTACTTTTATTAGTTGCCCTTTGTGTCCTGACAATGTTAATTTTGTTTTCTTTCTAGTAATTCAGTTTTAATTTTAGTAATTATTAGGGTAGTTAACACAGCAGGATTTCACATTCTTGAACACAACCTTAGGAGTTCTGCCTTGACAGCATTCTGTACATTTCCTCCCTATGAACACTGCTAAGAAATACCCCAAACGCTATTTGCATGCGCATATATATATTAGCATTTGAAGGCTGCAATCCTGTTCTCCTTACCTGAACTCAGTGGCTCTTACTTCTAAGCACACATGTAGAGGGTTGTGCAGTACACCTAAAAGTACCACCTAAATCTTTTCTCAGGCCACGTAATTGCAAGACATCCATGGAAGAAGTAATGGATGTAGGCTGACTCCTGCATGCTGAAGGGCAGGTTCAGAAAATGATCCACATCTGGTACAGGCACAGTCATTTATTTGCCTGCCCCCAAGTCCAGGGAAAAGTGTTTATTAGGAGTAAGCCCTGAACTCTCTTATCAGTGTGGAGTTTGCTTGAATCCCTTCATCTGCCAAATTTAGGATGTTTATTTATTTATTTAGGATATTTTTAGGCCATCACTTTTGTCTCTGAGGTGCTGAGTCTCAGATTTGGTAGCCTAGTCTGCTTTCTCCCGGCCCCATCCCCACATTACTTCATTCATTTACTGCCTTTGTGCTGCTCCCTGCTCCTCTTTTAAAAGGTTGAAATGTCACTTCTCAGTCTGTCACTAAGAGCTTTAAGCTAAAATATGGTGGTATTGTTTGTATTTTAGGCTCACCACATTCCCCTTTGGCTTTAGCCTCACCCACCAGTGAAATGTGTACTCTCAGAGTGCCCCCAAAATGGAATCTGGCTCTTGGCCTAAAAGATATTCAGTGCCCCTGTGCTAAACAAACAGGCAAAGGGGGGTGTTCTACACAGCCCCATCACTGATGCATGCCCCCTCCTGGCTGCCCATTTTGTGGTGGCACCTTGCAGGTATGCCAGTATTGGCCCAGGATTCCTTCTTTCAATGAAGACACATATGAGGGTTCAAGGGATTCCCCCCCAGTGCTACTGAGTTATCTTACAGGGCTATCAGGATATATTAATGATTCTTCCTTACATAGAACGAATGAGCAAATATGCTACGGTGAGGCATATGATGCTACTCCAAGCAACAGCAGAACTCTGCCAGTCAGATGCTCCATCATCTGCTTTGGCTGAACTAGGTCCATATTTCTGTGTTGCAGTGTAACTCTGAGCATCTGCAAAGC